AATATTAGCTGCTTGTGTCGATCAATTTATCAAATGAATTATGTCTACATTCAGTTTAATATAATCAAAAAAATGACTCGTTAAAGTATTGCAAATTTAAAATGGCAATAATAATTATACTCTTGATAAAATATTCTTATGAATTAATTGAAATTTTTGTAACATTTGTTATTATATCATACATGAAAGTATTTGATAGCTTTCCATCTGTGAAAACTAGTTTTGAACTACTTACTAAATCTACGAATGTTCTCTATTATTTTTATCGACATGTAGAAGACTTATCAGCAGTTTATAGTTTGTAGCACAAGTTGGTAAGTCAGGATACCCTAGTACTGCTTGCTGTGCTTAGAAAAAAAAGCTCTGATCAAATGTAAGGGTTCTTATTGGTCGGTATATTATGAATTACGTAATGGAAGCAGGAAAAATTCCATTACCATTCATCGTCAGTATGATTTACTGTTTTACTAAAAAATAATACTCAGATGAATATTATATAGTAGAACATTTTTTTTTCTTTATTTACTTCTTGAAATAATTAAATTTCTATTGAATAATATCTGTGAATTTTTTTTTTTATTTGCCAATTGCAAATAATTACCGATTTATAATTTTGTTTATATTCTCCAGGCATACTATTACATTATGAATGTAAATAGCTCTTTTATTCAAATAAGCAGCTAAAAATCATCTTGTAATCTTGATAGATTATAAAAGCCTCAAACTTATGGCGGATTTATACATTAGTGAAATTTATGTTTTGAGGTCAGACTAAACAAAGGTTTTTACTACTTGGACTAGATTTTGGATAAATGATAACGAAACGGTCAAGGACCCTAATCATTGCTGATTTAATGATCAAGAATATCAGTCGATTTAGTCACAATTCTATCCAATTGAATTAGAAAATTTATGAGAATATAGTAAAGCAAAAGAAACTTCATCTATCACTGTAAAAGAGTCGATTTATAAACGAAATCAGGATAGCATTTTATTTTGTTGTTGTGTTTTACTGAAAACACTTTAACAGAAGTTAATTTATTACAGCCGTCACATTCATTTATTTCTGACAAAGACTTAACAAGAAATGTACTGGGTGCAGTATAATATATATAAAAACACTGAATTTTGTAAAACCTTTTATGGTTTCCGAAACCATTTTATCGCATTCACGTATGTCTTACTATTTTTCCCAAAAAAAAAAAAATCAAATCGAACGAAACAGGTGATAAATCCCTAAGCCAATTACTTGAGACACTTGGATTTGTTTAAATCTACCTGAGAATGACACCTAACAGATTTGCGGGTGACAACTAAAGCTTAAATCAGAGACATTTGTTAAGCTGCATTCACAATTACACGTAAAGTTTAACTAAAGTTTGTGGTTGCTGAGTGGACTGTTGACGGTGCTGACGATAGACATGCATTAACATTGTCAGTAAATCACAAGTTTTAAGATGGCTAGAAACTATGGAATTTATCTATAAGTACTGAACAATCAAAGGTGGTTCTTATCATGAAAATAAGGGCAGAATAGTTTCCTTGATAATCCTCATAATTTATGCAGAAACCAATAGCAAAGCTCTGTCATAGTTGATGTGAGACTTAAATTTTATCCAGTACCCAGAGCTAATTTTCGCACGAATCGTAAGTGCAAAAATATAAAGTACACTTTTTGAAGCATAAAAAAAAAATGTATATTGTCTTTAAACTGACACCCCATCGATATTGCTAGAATCACAGGATCTTCAAACTCTGTGATACGATTAGTGGAAAAATGATCTTTCTGTAGTGATTAATTTTCGCATGTAAGTTATAAGCAAGTGAAAAATGAGACAATTTCAGTGCTCAAGATGAAATTAATACATCCATTAAGTTTTTTATCTTTCAAGTAAATTATTGCTATAGTTCTTTAGAGGTTTCAGTATTTCTTTGACTATCTGCTAGTAAATATCTCACCACTATTTTCATTAAGAAGAAGCAATAAGACTTATATTACTTTTTACCACATAATGTAGAGAGCTATATTACTTTCACCTTAAGCACCACGCTTACCTTACTTCAACCAATACATATTGCTTCTCAAGAGCTAATCCCTGGGCTTAAATCATCATCATCATCTTTCATACTTCAATCGATACCTCGTAAAAACAACCTATCCATTTTCCAGTTTCATAAATAAAAAATAATATATGTATAAAATATATACTAATAATCCTGTTAAATATGTAATCAATTGAATGATAAAATTGCCAGCAATATAACAACAGGCTTACATGTGTTGAAAGCTTTCTTGTTAATTAAATCTCACAGGTCTTCAGCTATTACTTATTGATTGAAGAGCAGCTAATATTCTTTAGAAACAATCGAGTTAAAAATCTACGAATCAAATTGATCTTGGTTTTGATAATGCCAAAGACATGTTCAGGCTTTATTTTAAGGCTTCACTACAATGTTACCTCAAATATACTTGGATAAAATTGGAAAAGTTATTTGAAAAAAAAATAATCCAAGCCCTAAATCCATTTGGATTTTCATGGAATTTATCATAAAAGTGCAACAAGATTATTCACATGAACTAAAAAAAATAGTAGGTTGCAACTTATCGGTCAATGACCTAAATGTGAATGTAGGCCAAGTTAAAGAATCCAAAATAAACCGGAAGGATGTGAAGACGCGTTAAGAAAGTTGTGTTCACGCCCAGAAAGAAAACCAGTAGAGGAATAAAAAGGAATTAAAATTTATCACATGATATGTATGGTACTCCTATTCGATGATACAGCATCTAATGAATTATTTTTTAGTGTGACTTAATTTCTTTCTTCAATATGCTTCTTTATATTGTTTCAACAACAAACATTTAAAAAATGCATTGAATGTAAATGCTTCATTCAAATATCTTGGGTTTACCAAAAATAATAGCACAAGGCTAAACTTGAATTCATAAGAGAATAGCTCTGCCTAGAAGCTTATAATTTTTTTCATAAGTAACAAAACTCGTTTTTGTTGACACGAGTGAATTCGAAGGTACTGAGAAGCTATGATACATAAAATGTCGGGTAATAAAGATGGCTTGTTTACTTAATTAATAGCATATTTTAGAACAATGTTGAATTTCACTGGGGATGCAATTAATTAGAACGAGTGTTATTTTTCTCAAGTTTTTTTTGTCTGCTTATAAATGGTAATTACATACCTCGTAAAACAATGTCTTAACAAATATTACAACAATGATATAAAAGTTTGAGTGCTTCATTATCAAAACATTTTATCTACAACAATATAATGTCATATAATTAAATAATTAATTATAATATACGGTTATAATAATATTTATAAAGCTTTCAAGAGCATTGGAAAGCCTGGAGAAAAAAATTATCGTTGATGTAATAATATATATAAAACATTTTAAATACTATGTGAAAGAAAATTAATTATTTACATAACTAATTATGTATTACAAGCAGAAATTAAATTATTAGAAATTAGCTTGTTAATTATCTCGATCTATTATTTGTTTGTGATCGCGAGAGTACGATAATTAGAATAATTATGCGTAATTTACAGCGTAATAATACTAGATTATAAATCTATTGTTCAACATATAAAATGTACAAATTGGAATTTTTTTTCAAGATAACTTTTGTGATGTATATCAGCATAAAGCATCAATAAAAATGCACAACTATCAACTTCTCTTTTTTTCGCAATATTTAATAAAAACTCCAGTAAAATGATCATGCTTCAATTGAAATATAGAAATATGATACCTTTTTAAATGAAACTTCAAGACAAAACTAAAAAATATTTTTCTCATTTATTCATATTTTCCAATGAATAGTTTGTACAATTTTACGTACATTCTAACAAAGACGGAAATGTGCAGTGTGTATTGACATGATGTATTGTTGAAGTAGACTTCATTGAAAGTGTTGAAGCGTAAGAACATTTTACTTGAGTAGAATAAAAAAAAAAATAAATGAATCTAGTCCACATGTTATAGAATGTCAACACGATATCCTACTTTCTACAGTAAATACTTTGAATGGATTTTATTTAAGATTATATTCCTAAAAATCATTTATGTTTATGACATGCGATAACCAACAAGATCCTTTCAATGACAGCTGCCAATAATACATAATGTATTTAATGAAAGCTATGGCGAGACTAAAGCTTCTTTCTTACTTTTACAATAAGCTGCTTCCAGCATATATCCTCCATAAATCTTATAATAAAAACAAAATTAAAATATTTATAACTTTGTAAAATACATAAAAGTTTGGTTAGTAAATCCTGTGAATTGATTTTGAAAAAAATTTCCAAGTTATTAATTAAAAATTTATGAAGTAAATTTTTTTTATCAAAATGCTAATGAAAACTTAAAACATTTCAACAGCTTTCTTTGTTTAATTGAAGCAAACGTTCATGGAATTTTTTGAAATCTTAATTACTCCATCGTTATGACATTATCAACACAATTTTTTTCCTATATTGTCAAGTTGAAACACATTGACGATAATGAAGATCCGAATATTCATGAGAATATGTGCATATTCATGAATAAAATATAATTTACATCAAAGTAGATTGAGTTAAACATTTTTCATTAAAAATGAGTCTTTAACAAGAATTTAATAATATATTTTTACTAAGTTCTATAACTGTTAAAATGGAAATTATTTACTGCACTCTTTGTCATGTTCGTATTTTATAATTTTACTCTCATATTACCGAAATATGATTAATCCTTGAAAGCTTAAAATCTTAATTGTCAGTATTTAACTCTAGTATGACTTATCTATACAAATAAGAGTCAGTAGAAGCTAATCAAGAAAGGTAATAGCTAATTAATTATTATGAAAGATAATCATGAACATGTACAAAAGCTCCAAAACAAAAGAAGAAGAGGGAAGACGCCAAAAACCTTTAAGGATGCACAGACCTGCGCAGTGCCGTATCAATGGGGGGTTGCATTGAGTTCATCGAAAGGGGCGCGTGTCGTTACCGGGGGTGTTAGTCACGGCCCATCTGCCTACCAACAAACACGTAAGTTTGTAACACGTTCGTTCAGCGTTGATTCATCGTTTTAACAAGTTCAATCACAAAGATCACACGAAATGTGATTGAGAACCGATAATAAAAACTTCGTGATGATTTTTATTTATTTTTTCACACATTTTTGCGTAAAATTCTGTTATCAAATCGTGATAAATTGCAAACCGAACGGATATTCGATCTTATAAAAATGGCGGTTATTTTACCAAAACTTACATAAAAATATTACTTTTCTTATTCGTTAAATCAGCAAGTGATTATTGTTGTTAAAATTTAATTTTTTTCTAAATATTTTCATTCATCATTGTGTATTATTTATCATGAGGCTGTTACGTGGTTTATTTATTTTGATATGAGAATATAATTGTTATGGAAATAGTACTTTAAATTTTTACAGCCTGTTGTTAAAGTAATAGAGAATAATTAGATTACTTTATTAACTCGTTTAAATTAATTGTTAGATACGTGCTGTTTTTATTTTATTAGTCATTCAGAATGGTTAATCGTAAATAATGATGATAAAATACACGTGCAAAACACGCGGCAAATACATTTATTGTTTTAGATAAATTAAAATTATAATGAATTGTTAAAAAAAATTAATTAACGTGAGCAAAAAAAAAATTATTATTCTAAAAAATGTGTACAAGAAATTTTAAATAAAAAAATTTATTATTATTATACGAATATTCGAATGAACTGAATGGATGTTTTAATTAATTATTAAATTTTAGCTCTATGATTATAGCATTCTTCATACTTAAAATCACAGTTGACTATTTATACTTTTATTTTTAAAAAAGAATAATGATCATGATTTCGATTGAAAAATATTCCAAAAATAGTATTTCCATATATAAAAAATAAAATAATAACAATGTCTAAAATAAAAGGATATTTTTTCTGCTAAGAATTTTTGGAATGCAGTTAAAATTTATTGTGTTGGGTTAATATATGTGTTTGACATGAAAAGCAGTCGTGAAACTCAATGAAAAGAGACTTGCGCGAAGAGGAATCGTTTGTGCTTATACAAGTAATAATAATTTAACGGAAACTTATCTTTCAAGTATTTAAAATATTGAATTAAAAGTTTTTTCGATATTAAAAACTATATAAGTTTATTACAGTATTAAGGCATTGATGAAACTCTAGAAACACTCTCAAACTATTTATTAAAAATTCGAAATTGAAAATTGAGATTGACAGAAATCTGATCTACTTTAATAAATCTATCTTTTGCAGTGACTTGTTAGTCAATTGCTATTTTCTCATATTACTTTCACGTAATAATTATTAGATAACAAAAAAATATTGTAAGAATAATACTTTTGATAGGAATAAATTCATCAAGAGTTAAAAACATTTAACTGCACTTAACGATAATATGTGCCAGTTTCACATGAAAATTTGTGTAATCATTTGCACAATCAGTACATGAGCTTATTATCAGCATTATAAGTAGTTGCATGACTCATTCCACTAATATAAGCGCAATAATTGAAGCTATTTTCTAAATCCACATATTTCATGCTATCAAACATACCAATCAACCCATCAACACCATTTCTCATATGCTTGTGAGCTAAAAAACTCTAAATACTTTGAAAGTTTAGAAACTTAAAAATTACGTACACCAACAGGTACTTATTCACTTTCTGCAAATGAATAATAAAAATATGACAAAGTTGGGTTACCTAAGCTTGACATATAGAGTTGCGTGTCAAGGAAAATATAATTTGGTATTGATTTTGGCATTGATTATTTCAAGATTTGTTAATCCATATCCATATATCATACTTTAAATGACTTTCTATTTCAGTGAATACATGTTTAATGTTCGTAATCTTTTCTATAAATACCAATCGCGAAAATGACATCTTCAATACAAAGATCTACTTTATTTTCGTATCAAAACATTCTATTAATGTGTTGCTGCCGGTGCGATAAAACAATTTAATCAGCGTCGGACATTCACCTCGCGACAGTTGTATCACACAATCGATATAATGGTTTTATTTGCATATTAAATGTTTATTCAAAGTGACATCGATATTCTTTTTTTCTTTCATTTCTTTCGAAAGTAAATTACATATAGAAAAAAAGCTGCCCATTAGCTTTTTTTTAGTGATTTTAAAATATAGTCATGTTGAAATATAAAACAGCTGATGATATGAATTTGTGAGCTTAATTGAATTCGATGAATAGAATGATGCGGTTAGTCAAGCTTGAAAAAAATTTCACAAAGAATGCACTGATAGATTAAAGATCAGGGTACAAAGATAAACGCAAAATAAACGATTTGATAACTGCTGCACGGTTACTTTGACCTCTACTGTCTGCAGTTCAATATCGTAAGTGGGACATGAACCTAGCAGGTACTCAAGGCTTTACACAAATGTTCAATATAGCCCACGTTCGCTCACCCTCATGGGTAGTCCTCTTCAATAAATACTTCGTGATATATAACAATACTGAAGTTTCATGATTCGTCTCCATATCTATAACTACCTCTTCTTCTTTCACTGTCGTCTTTTTCCTCTTTTTGTAACGATCTCGAGAAAGACGTTGTTCTAATTCCTCTTTTCCGTCGTTTTGCTCAGATGAAAATTCTCGGAAGGATGAAGAGGAAGTTCTTCTCAGAGCACTGAGTGCTGGAAAAACCGTCCTACCTGTCTATACCAATATAATTTACTCCATTTATAGGTAGATAAATTCAGTAAGCCGTTAATAGCTCAGGATATTAATTTAGATGGAAAAAAAAATTATGCTAAATTCATTTGTTGTTTGAGTAGTTGGTTTATCTTACTCGAGAAAATCTGCTATATATTATTTATGCAATTTTTGACTTTCATTTTATGTAATGAAAGTGGAAAATGATGTGGTTAATTTTTAAAAAATGTTCCAACACATATCACATTTTACCACAGTGTTTCCTTTTTTTTCTAACAAGTTTTTTTTCCGTTTATAAAAATTGAAATTTTTTCTTGGGTGAAGTTTTTTGCTGCTAAAAAAATCCATTGTGTTTAATTACATCAGCATGGTAACTATTTTACTTCATTAATGCACATCTTGTTGAAAATCAATGATGTTTTTGAAGTTAAGAGTGAAGTTGAGTGTTCTCGTTCATGAAGCTCTAACAAGTCAAAAAGCTTAGGAAATCCAATAAATTCAGAAAAATCATTGACATTCTAGAATATTGTAACTCAATAAAAATATAATTTAATTGATGTTTTTTACAACTAAAAATAAGTTTGTTCCCCTTCAAATTTTCTGACTACAATACAATAAAAATGAATTGACTTTCAATCATTGAAATTTTTTTGATAAATAAAAATATTATTTTCTTGTCAATATTTTTTTTAGAATTTGATTATTAATGTGGTTACATGTCCAAACAACGTGAATGTTTATTGATGAATAAAACTGTTGGGTAGGATTTATTAAGGATTTAAAAAGTCTGTAGATATATATATTCTATACATATATTCTATACCATTACTTTTGAATTCAATTTAATCAAATGATGAAAAAAAAATGATCAGTATTTTGATATTTAGTTTATTTTAAAGCTTGATTTGCTACTCTGATAAATACTTTGTCGTTTGATTTTAGAATTGGTTTTTTAATTTAACATGAATGTTAGTATATCCCAGTATTTGTTAAGCACTAATAAAAAATTCGTAAAAAATAAATTCCAGAATAAAGAATAAATAGACATTGAAAAAGTCTTTTTTGAATTTGTGCTCTCTATTCAAATATTATTTTATAAATAAATAATTACTACCATTTAATCTGGGACATACATTTTTGTAAGTTTTAATCCGACCATGTTTCAACCAACATCATCATCCATTATAAAAAATTTTGATGGAATCAAAAATTAACACGTGAATAAATAAATCCAAAACTATACTATTTTTTTTAGATTACAGAGATGATGTTTGAAATTTATAAATTGTTTACATAAATTTTGTAACATTGTCCATCAAGATGATTGTCATATTGACCTTTGTTATATTTTTAGTCAGCTCTATAATATTAAAGAATAACCATATTTCCACCCACAAAATATTTTCTCGTCAATTTGACAAATTCCTTACAAAATTAATATTGAATATCTGATCCTTCACAACCCACTCATATTACCAATTATTTATAACACACATAAACCTGTCACTAATGTGATTGAAAATTAGTCACAGGTTTATTAACATAATTCGATCAGATACAGATGGAAAGATTATTTATCCATATGAGATGTTTATTAAAATTCTATCCAAAACTCATTTCATGGTTATAAAAAATTAATTCATAAATCAGTGTGATGAAGGAGAGAGTCTGAACGTACAATTGAAATTACTCGGCTGATATCTGAATCACACGTGCGTAGCGCAAGCTCATAAACTACGGTAGATTTACGCACTCAGCTGATTAAATTAGGAGCTGTGGATAATTCAATGATTATCATACAATGTCCATTTGCGACCAAGTAGAAAAGATAGATCGCATTAAGTAAATTTTACTATACATCTATATATAAATCAACCGTCAATGTATTTCTAATTATCGTAGGATTAGCAACACTTTTGGCATCATGCCAATATTACTTTTCTCTTACTTTCTTCGTTTTTGTGGCATCTTTCGAAATTACTTGCTATGTCAGTTCAACTAGTTCAAGTAGCTTCAAGTATGCCAGTATAATTCACTCTGATTATTCAGTATATTTTTTTACAATTTTTTATTATATAAAAAAAAAAACCTTATTCTAAAATAAAATAGAGTAGGTGTAGAATTCTAAAAAAATTAACATTATTCTTCACTCTCATAAATAAATTGTGAATTCGTTCTTTTAAATATGAATGCTCCGAAAATTAAATATTAAAAATTAGAAATTTTTTTTAAGAGAATTCTTCATCCTTACTACTTACTAAAATATTCTCCAGTTTAATTGTATAATAATTTATTTTTATAATGAAAAAAAAAGGCTCATACATTCCTAATGGAATTATTTTTTTTTTCAAGTAACAATTACCAAGTCAAAAACGTCACATAAAAGTTGAATATAACCATTTTGAATTCACATTTTTCACTGCATATCAACACAAGTATTCTTGACCTTTTTTTTTTTTTATTATTATTATCGTGTACAGAATATTACTGAAAAAATCAATTCACACATAAATAAAAACTCGAATAAACTTTTTTATAAAATAACAACTTTGTGATATGGATTTGTCAAATTAAAACAATGAAACATTTTTTTATTAATATATTTCATGTATATATAAAGCATTGAAGCACTTCAGATTTAATATCTACAGCAATTTAAATCACCGCTCGCGTGTTAATAATGAAGCTAAATAATAAATGATGAAATGGAATTAATAATCATAGAGAATTAATAAAATAGTAAAAAGTCACGTATCATTTTAATCTAAGCTAAATCATCTGAAATATTGAATATCATCATTAAAAAATCGGAAGTGGTAACTCGTTTTTCCTCCCAACGAGAATGGCATGATACTGATAACGTACGGTTTGTATTCCTTCTCTCTTGCAATTGCGGTGGTACCTTGATATACGCGAAAACGATTATCGAGCGTTCGACAGACACGGACGAATACGCGCGCTAGAAAATTCCATCAATCAAAAGCGTGATTTTTTTTTCGAAGGGAATCAATTTAAATTTAATAAATAACTGAAAAATTAGTCACGTTCCAATAAAACGAATTCATTCAAGCTAAGAAGGATTTTTTATCAAATTCAATTTAAAAATAAAATGATTATATAATCATAAAAGACGACATATAGATATAATGTAACATTTAATTCCAACGCAGTCAAAAATCGGACAGTTTTTATCGAAAGTCTGGCAGATCAGAATGATTCGAAAGCCGAAATGAGTATGTTTCAACGACTAACTTACTAAGAATAGAAAATGGGAATTGGTAGACGGAGACGTGGAAGTAACGAGAAATTGAAGAGGGCAGAGAATGGAGAAATAGAACGGAGCATGCCGCTGGGTTGAAACTGTTGGGTGCGGCGTAGGAGTGATCAATACTCCCCCTGTACCAACTTTCTGGGAGAGTAACAAAGATAAAACGATTCGCGAATTTTGGAAATGCTCGAACAGATTACATAGTCAGTAAAAAGAGAATGGACAATGTCTTTTCAATTCATACATGGAAATTTTTTACAGGAAATTCTCCCTTCTGTATTCACCAGAAATAATATTTCGAATTTTAGCTTGAATTTGTAATATTCAATATTTTAATATAAAATTCAAACTATATTTTTGACTATAAAAATTTATTTTCATTTATTTGATTCAAATATTGTCGATTCACATATTTACTGTCACTTAAGCATTGACTTTTTAATTGCTCTAATATAATTAATCAACATAATCAGATCAACTACTTTCAAAATTTAATAGTCACATGACGGAATTTTATTAAATGACACAATTCTTTTAACAAAGTATGTCACCCTTGAATTAGGAGTATTTGATGATTAAAAAAAGCTTTATCGTCAAAGAGGAATGTTACACAACTGAAGTGTTGATATAAAGTATGTACTTTGGCACTGTCTTTATTCACTCATCATCTTGAAGAGACATTGACATTTAAAATTTATAACTGAGGGCATACTTCAACTTTCAAATAAATAATCTTATAAGTATTTTCATTTTTCAATAAAAGTATTATCTATAAATTAATGTGATAAATTATTGCAGTTTGCTTTTTCGTAGACAAAAGAAAAATTGTAGCAAATTTTATTTCTTTCTACTGCGTGACACAAAACTGTTAACATAAGTAATAAATCACGTATCTTATTCTCGAGTTATATCACTGAACGTGTGAACCAATAACATCCCCTAGAATGTTTTCTTTGCCTTATTAATATAATCGTACATTAGATCAACATGATTGATGAGAATATTAAATGAATATAAAGAGTGATGAAGAATTGGAGCGATTATATTACTGGTAGACACGAATTTGATATCATATAAAAAAAGTACTTTATCAAATAGAGAAAATCAATTAAACGATTAATCTAAATAAAATTAAAAGGATAAATATATTTTTGTTCTGCTTGAGCTAAAAAAAATAAACTTTTGAGACTTTGTTTTTTACTGATATAATGTATTAAGTATCATTATTTTTTTTGCTCAATCAAAAGGGGAAGTACCATAAAGTACAATTAAGCTTTGATTTTTTAGTCTTGTGAATATTAAATATAATAAATCCTTTTTTTTGAACAATTTTAATTCAGTTTATCACAGTCAATAATATTTTATTCTTTTCACATTTATGTGTTCACTCAAGTACTTTTTAACTGATCATGAAAACAATTATTATAATTATAATTAAGTAACTAGATAAAAAATTTATGAGAAAATTATTAAATATTTAAACTATTAGTCTCCAAAAATAAGATGAGTTAAATATTCAATTATTTAAGATTAAAATAATTTATGCAGGATATTATTTATTTCAATGTTAAAATTTTCTGCTATCATTTTTCGTAATTCAATAACACATATTTATTATCATCTTTTATTTAATATTTGCCATCTTTTTACGAATTACTAAAAAAATTATCGCAAAATGTATTTTAGAATATTTTTTATGCTTTTGCTTATTCCTCTGTACTTTCTGGATTTTATGCCCTCACAATATGTTCTGAGCATGACATTTATATTTCCATAGCTTTGTGCTTTATGAGAAGAAAGAGTTGATAAACTTTTTTTTTATTGCGAGAAGTAGATAAAATCATGTATTTAGTATTCAACCTTCATTTTATTTAAAAACTAGATACATGAAGTTTTTTTCCCCCTTGAAAACCATTGGATAGTTAATAAAAATCAATATTAATTAAATAGCTTTACTGGTATTTACGAAACTCTTGATGTGTGGAGTCTGAGGGTAATATTACTAAGGCTAACGACCCTTGTGGCATCTTAAAGGGTATCAACATAGATAGAGTGAATGATAACGAAAAGAGGAAGAGATTACTTTAGGTAATAGCCAAATATTATAATTTATAACTTAGCTTTCTTTTTTTTTCAATTGCAACAAGTTTGAGCTGATAAGAAGAAAGAAATAATGATGATAATTTCTTTGAAATAATTTTTAACAAAGCAGGAAAATGAGTTATAAAGTACCTATAGTGTATGGTACCAAAGTCATTCTAACTACATCAAGTAATTTCGTTTCTAATTCTTACTGAATTTTTCTAACGAAACACGTAACTCTATCATCACCTTCATGATATAACTATTGAAGATCTGGTTTGTACATGTAAGAGACTCTTGTAACAACGTACCTTGCTCTTGTAGATTATTGCCAAAACTTTTGCAATTACTGTTGATACTTTAGTGTTCAAGAAGTCGAGTAACTTCTATTAAAAACAAGCTCAGCTAAAGGTGAATAGTTAGTCCAAGTACCTGAAACAAAATTAAATATGATTTTAAATATTTCAACAAATCATAATCATGATGTGCTAAATCTACTATTTTGATACATTGATTAATTTCTCCATCATTGATTAATACACATTCGACATGACATATGAATTAACCACAAGTTATTAGATGAATTAATAGATTAGTTAGAGATAGTTAATTCCACATATTTCAAAATTCTACCATCATAGATAGGTTTGCATGTTTTGTACAAGACTACGTGGAATTTATCATTCATGATAAAGCATGCGAACGAATCATCAGTTATTCTTTTCAAATAGTAGTTAAACAAATTGAATAGGTCACAATATCACCATTGTTAAAAATTAATGGACAGTATTATTATGATTAATTTTTAGATACACTGACACAACTTTATTTTTGATAAGATATATTGTTGATAATAAATAGAAAAAAATGTTCATTTATAAAATTGATGTTGTAATTTTGAAAAATTATCTCAGTATTTGCAATAGCAAAAACGATAATTATAAATTAAGAATTATTTAATCTTCTTTAGATGTCTTGATAAATAAATGAAATTGCATGAAAATATCTTTTCATGTTCCAGCATAAAATAGCGTGTCAACTTAAAAAGTTCATTTGTAATAACTCATGCTAAAAGGAATGATTATAGCTTTTATGAAAAAAAAAAAAAATGTCAAACTTTAATTGCGAATAAAAATATCACCTAACAATTCATTGAAATTTATGCAAGAATAAATTTTTTTTATCAGTTTTTGATAGAAATAATAAAAAATCTACAATAAAATATTCTATAAAATATATTTTAGAGGTAATGTAATAAAAAATAATTCAAGAAAAACAATACTATGTCTGATCATAAAACCTTAATAATTTCCACACTAACATGCTAAAAGATTAAGGAGAAAAAAAGCTTGACGATAAAACCTTTTACGTGATGCGGCGTTGTATATTTACCATTTAATTATCTCCGAGAACTGACCGTTGCTAACTCAAAGTAAACGTGAACCATTAAAACTTTGAAACGAGTAATTAAGGTAAATAAGTAGAGGGAACGAAATTGTTTTATAAGCGCCAACTACTGGGAAATTTCTTTTTATTTTCACTATAGATGAATTTCTTTGTAATACCAGTTTATAATTATCCGATAATTCATCACATTTTATTTAAACACAAAACTATTGAAAATAAAATATGGAAATACTATTGTGCCAGTAAAACAATATGTCATAAAAATAATTAAAACATTCATAACTTGTTATAATGAACAAAAGCTTATAAAAAAAAACATTGTTATGCCAGCATTTTTTATTCATTAATTATTCAAAGTCAAAAATTTTTTATTGTAATTACTTCAGCGCAGTAAATTACTCTTTTAGATCCATGGCCATAGTTCAATAGTGATCAGTTAATTAGTCAACCACGAAGATGCAGCTGCGACTCCAAGAAAGATATTATTTGTGATCGTGTATGTGTATTTAACAGAATCATACTCAGCATTATCGGATAATCATATTTTTAAAGACCAAGTCAATTACCAAAGGAAATTAGTAACAAATGTTTCGAGTGAACGAAAGCCAAAATTTCCAAATAACGACAATTACAACCGACCATTCTACACCGGTCAATGATACTAGTTCTAGTTGTAGCCACGTGGACTTAAAAATATCAGAAAATTACATTCGTCAATTTTGTCATAGGATAGAGAGTTATATTGCTGATATTCCCAGTTAATGTAATAGTTTAGATGCAAATAAATATCATCAATAGATAATCGATAGAGTTAAATTTAATGATCAATTGCTATTCATTAAAGCAACATCTGATCCAAACCTATGAATCATAGCTTGCGCAGTGATAATAAATTTTAGTGTGTGCCGTTTCTAGATATTTATTGATAATAAAATCCTAGCAATATTGTTGTTATATCCGTTCTAAGAGCAATAACTAATCGGGCCATTCGCGCGCGAATTTATATAAGAGACCATTCTTCTATTGTGAGAAAACCGGAAGTGCTACAAAACTTCAAAGATGGCTTTCGCGGCAGCTCGAATGATTCTCAAGGACAAGCGACGAAAAGCAAGTAAAGAGGATTTTGCACCAAGAAATAGGAGCAAGGTAAAATCTTTTCAAGTTTATTCCTCGATTGCTTCCATTTTATAATAAAATAATAATGGAATAAAATAACTTTAGGCAAATGTTTAATCATTATTAAATATGAATAAAATTTCAAATATCTAAATTGGAGTAATTTAAATTTACTTCAATAGAAGTTTAATAATTATAATGACATGTTATAGAATTATAAAAAAATATATGGTAACGAGATGTTTATTGTATGATGGTAAATACAATAAGTGGAGATTATTTTTTTATTCAATTTCAATACAATGTAAATTGGACTCGCGGAAGTGCAACATGAAGATTGGATCTTTTTTTTTTAACTAACTTCCGTTCCAGTGATTTTCATGATTCACTTCGGTTACTATTTCAATGGTGATACGCATGATATATAGTTTGATACAAACATACAGTTTCGTGCTGGAGATATTCAATAATGAAAATTCCAGGAGTTTTGATTAATTCAATGCATAAATTGACAGTATGTCACTTTGTTCGTACGAGTGGTTATGGAATGTTGATATAAAAAAAAAAAAATACAGAATAAAGTCTGCACTAGAATATGTCTATTATTTTTATATTTACTTCATTTCAAAAGTTTCCCCTATGATCACATAAAAGTTTTTAATCTATTTTTTTTAGCTTTTATTGATGTACAGACTTGTGATTAATAATATCACTACTAAACTTGAATAAGTTGAATGATAAAATTAAAAAAAAAACTTAAACAGAAAGTGCTTGATAATATATAATTAACGGAGGAAACTTTTAATGATATTGAAAAAATACAGCTGTCACAGAAAAGTTTTTTCCAAGTTTTTTTTTTTTTCTCCATTATCGATAATAGCACTTGAAGATTAGTTCGATTATGCATCATCGTTAATATCGACTAGGAATAGAAAATGGAACATTTCACTATTTTCATATTGAAGCATTGGTTCGTGAAAACGTCATGTTTGATAGTTCTTATCGCCCTTTTCCCGGCACAATACTTCAGCAGCTAAGACTTCAGCTGCTATCAACTATCGATTCATCCCAAAAACGTACTTTCAGCGATGATGTTAAATCTCATGATGCCTTGTCATCTCTTTTGTTATCATTTTCCTGCTGTTAGTCTCGAGGTCTTTTGAAAGGCTCTTCACTTCAAGAACCATATGGTTGTTGAATTCAAGTGTATTTAATTTATTTATAACTTTAAATAATTCAAGACTTTTGCCTCGTTGAATTATTTTATTTCAGTATATTTAAGATATTTTATCATTTCAATTCCATGAAAAAATATGTGACAAAATTATCGCTGACTCTCATTCAGATTAAAAGCAGATGGAGGAAAAGGGATTAAACTGGATGAAGATTAAAAATTTTCAATCTAGGAATCCATGAAATTTTATTTCATATTTTCTCAACACATTCGTGGTAACACAGAGAATTCTATTTCCTTGTTAATAATATTCAATTTCCTATTAGATCACATCTCATTCATTTTTTTAGTTATGCAATTTTCGTATATTCAATTATGTGACTAATATTTTAATAATAAAATAAAAGATCTAGGTATTTTACATAAAATTTTTCAATTATCAACTAACAAAAGTGAAATAAAAAAAATCCAGCTTCTATCGATAATCAATATTGCAAATTGTACTAATTTGTAGAATCATTAAGTTTTTTTATCATTTTTTGTGCTCATTCTTTTTCTTTAGTTCTTTATTGCCAGTGAAATTCATGTTTACTGAAGTGTCAAATTGCTATCAATTGGAAAGAAATCATTCAAGTGCTACAATAGCTCTACTGTTTTTGGTCTCATAAGACCATTAATTTTTATTTCATACTGCTGAAAAGTAAATGGACAATTGGAAATTACAAATACAAACGATTTCCTTTAAAGAGAAAAACACCCAGTGAGTTTAATTAAAATTTAGAAAAAAATAATAATTGGTGCATTCATTAACTTGGGTAGCAATTTAAATTGGGCTTTATTCTGGAGTCCTTATGGTATTGGTGAAGGAGTAGATTCAGACCTGGAAGAGGAAAAAAGACTAGGACTATTTAGCAATTATTGATGTAATAGGTAGTTCTATGGTAATAATAAGATAGCTGGAGTAATGAGGTGATATTAGAGTAGTTGGAGAGTAGGAACATGTGATCAGGTCCATATTTCATTGCTATTCGAGAAATCACTGGTAAAATCTCAATAACAACTTAACAAGCTGCTCCATTAAACTAGTTAATGAATCACTTAAAAATAACTTCCACTTTTTAAATTCATAAATATTCTTGAGTTTTTACTATCTAATATCAACATACGATATTTGCATAATAAAAGTTAGATCTCGATGCTATTTCCAAATATCATGCCGAGAAATTTAATTAACACAGTTCAAGTTAAGTTCTCAAGTTCTCAATGGAATTACAGTGAGTTGGTTCTGCACTCTCGTGCGAACAAGGTGTCTCCAACTTTATCGAATTGAGGTGTCGATGATTAACCATTATTTTCAACTCACAGTATATGTATAAAGTCGAATTCATGGTATTATTCTATAATGACCATCAAAAACCAAACGCTGGTATTAACGAGAGTAAGCATAAATTTACATCACAGAAAATTCACAATGACCATTAGGAAATGAAATGTGTGTGTCTTGCAGGTCAATTGTTGAATGAATTTGAAGGAAGTTTGGTGGTGCATTCATGAGGAAAAAAAAGAGATTTAAAAAACCATTGTATAATTTACACAAAAAAGTTCAACTAATATGTGGAGACAGTTTCTTAATGAATATTTCCAGCGAATGACAAAGCATAAAATTCATATAAACAGTGACTGGAAATTTCCGGACAGAAAATAATAGTACAACACATGCAGGTCTCGTTTCAGTGGGTGACAGAATCGGGATTGTGTTACATGCACATTCGAAAGATAGAAAAAAGCTCTGACAAACGTATCACAGCCTAAATGAATGTACAGTTGATTGCAATGCATCGAAACAAACAATGCCAAGCGCCATGTTGCACTTCTCGAATTCAAATTACATTTACAACTGATAGACTGATAACACAGTAGATGTGTTCAACTGCGATGTGACTCTGAATAAATTAGGAGGAAATAGGAATATATTTGATCGACATTATATATAATCGGAAATCGGTAAATGTATTTCACCCCATTGCCAAATTTATTATACTTAGAATCTCAAGGGATAAAAATGATTTCAGACACACACAAAAAGTCATTTCTGTAAAAAGATTTCTTTATAATTAATAAAATAAAACTCAGATAAAATTAAATCGTCTTTAGAAATTTTCTCTGTTCGACTCTGATTTGTTTTGCTGATATATCAGAAAAATTATTGAAAAAACTTTTTTACGTTACTTAAAATAGATATCACTCACATTGATATTTTTCTCTAGAAGCTTTGTTTATTTATTTCGACTTCAATTCTCTATAACCTGATTTCCATCAAAAATGATCGCTTTAGATCTATTAAAATTCACGACAGGAGATCAGTTTGAATCTAGCTATTATATTCTTGATACAAACAGTCGACTGAGCATTATTGACAGGAACTTGGAAACGATTTGTAGTAAGGTTACCTTTTAAAATTTTCTATGGAAAGTCATCTGCATATTAATCGGAGTCGTGAATAAAAATTTTGAATAATAAAGTCTATTAAATTTCATGAATTAATTAAATGAAAAAAAAAAACCAACACCTGAACTCATTTATTAATTATAAAGAAATCTTTTCCTCAATGTAATTTTATCAATGTTCAATTGCTGTTGTAGTATGCTATAACTGTCATAAACTGTTAAAATACAAGAGCTAAATAAAAATTTATTTAATTATTGACACTTTCTATGTATTGATCTTAAGAAGCTATCACTATTTTTCAATCTACTTTCTATCTTATTCTACCAGTTATTTTTATTCTTTTTATAAAAAAAAAAAAAAGAATTTCAATCGCACGCTTTACTTTATGTGTCTCAAGAAATAAATAAAACAATAACAAATAAAAATGTACAGATAAACAATAAATGTTTCCAGCACATTCATTGGATAGAAAATATACACATTGTTTAGAAATGTAAATGAAAACTTTTCCTGTATGTGTATCACTGGCTATTGAATGTTTTATCTTATATATACATATTTTATATCGACTATTTATTACAGACTATCACGAATATATGAATTTAATAATTTATTTCACGTATTAACATACTTCTATTCTACTTTTTTCAAAAAATACAGTGTGATTGGTGACCCGTATTGTACTTGTGTTTACAGGCTCGCAGCGCCAGTACAAGTAGCTTTAGAAGCCTAAGCCAGGTACAAACTAAGATCACAGTAATCCACATAGCTAGATTTAGACCTAGCAATTTAGTTCTATTGTTTCTTAAATATTTATAGAACTATTCAATGATAGAATGCATTTTTGCATTAAATAGTCACAGTTTAAATTTATTTCAAATATGTTTATTCTATTTTATTGATTCATTTTTGATTTCTATATCTAATAAAAATATTTAGATTTAGAAATCACCATGAAATTAATATGTAAGTCTTAATGGGATATGTTCTATTTTATTCTAATAATTATGTTATAAACTCTTGCTTACATGTTATTCTTCCATAGTTCTCAACTTCCTATACTCATTGTGTTCATAGAAATAAATTTGTATGAAAGGCTCATATATTTTTTACTCATAGTGCATAGCATTTTTGCACGAAAAAAGTGAAAATGATGCATGCATGAAGCACTTGCTTATGTGTGGTTGACACGCTATTGTTGGAGCATGCCTAATCACGCAAATATTTTTGAAATCATTAGGAAAAAAATGATTTGTATCAATTCTTAGAACTAATGGGTATAATATTGCACGTGATTGTAGTTGTCTTTGCTGTCTGAACTATTTCTTCGTTCTCCATAATTAAAAAAAAACGCCCAATCATCACGTACAGAACATTAATAATGGAAGTGCAATGTTTTTGCCAGGCTTATAAAAACAACATAATAAATTATTTGATTTTAAGACAAGTAATAATATTGATTGAAGAACATTTTAGTTTTAATTACTATTCAGAGAATGTTCATTTGTTGTTAACATTTCCTCGAGGTATTTTCTGTACACTCCCTGTATAATCATAGTCTCGTTTCATTGCAACACGTCTAGTGTCTGACGTATTAATAATATACCTGTTCCTTCCGGGTATTTTCGCTGGTGAGATATAGTGAAACTGAACTCTCTGATTCTGTATCTCATTTATAACACATATGACCAGAGGAGATACGTATCAAATACCTCTAAATCGTGTTATAAAACAAGATTGAATAAATAAATCTTATTACAAAGCTCATTCAGATTTCAACCAAGACTATAAAATTGTCAATTTTTTTTATTTATTTATATTGTTATTTAACTTACATGATTTATTTAACAACTAAACAACTTCCCATTGCAATAATAGTTTTTAAAATTGGACGAGTTAATATGTAATTACTTAATGAGTGATGTTGATTTATCTACGAATCAAAATAAAATAATATTTGCAGAAACAGAAAAAGAGATCTCTAATAAAATGAGTAAATACTTAAAGTTTTTTTTTTTTTTTTTGAATTAAAAATTCTATAAATACAAAAGAAAAACTAATATGATTTTACTTTTTATTTTTTTAAGGTAAAAAGTAAACTATTTTTAATAGGTACAAAATATTTTTCAAGTATGTAAATGAGTTTACTATGACAGCCAGTAGAAACTTTGTAATTTTATTTTACAAGAGCTTCAAATTTATTTTTCTTCACAAAACTTTAACACTTATATGACTGGAACAAAATACATTGAAAATTTCAAATATTTATGAATTGATTTTATATCAATTAGTTTCAATTGCAACATGGAATTATTAAATTATCAAATCCCCATTGATTTATCAAATCAAATAATACAGACTTAAAAGTCGATCAATTAATTGAATTCATCCTTTAAAGAGTTCTGTGCAATAATAATAAAAAATAATAAACGATTCTACTTTACTTAAACCATCTTCTAGACATTAATTGAAACATCAACTGTACTTTACTGTGGTAAAGAGACAGTTAGAAAAAGGAAAAATAATCGAAAATAAAAACATAATTGTAATTGATATTTCTATTGGAAAACTCGTCGACACAACTTTCAACAATTGTAGGTCGCAGTTTGGCGTAAAAATGACAAGACGATCGATGATCTCGCGGGTGCAGTCACGAGTGTACACAGCAAGTAGTACATACTCGTCTCTTTCATTTATTAATTTCCTGCTGAGGCATTCGACCATGTAAGTGTAACAATTCTGATCAAGGTCATTCTGGTAATTATTGCAATCATATCCAGCAAATAATTGACTTTTCTATCTATACAACATACATCTATCATTTTTAATTGAATCCTTTAATCTTTTATGAAACCTCCAGCAAAACAATGGAACAGTTTTATAATAAATTAAAAGCTAAAGAAAAAAGTAGAGAATTACTTCTTACAAAAATCAAGTTACGGGCTATTTTAGATTGTTAATAAAAAAAAGCTCGTTTATTGTTAGCAATGCTTTTAAGTCTTCATACACTTACAGAAATGAGAAAAATTCAGAATCAGTAAACTTTGATGATAAACTAGATGTACTGATAAATGTGACATACAAAATTAGGTCGTACCACAACGCATTTTATCTATATAAAGGGCTATCCAATTAAATTAACAAACATTCTCAGTGCATCTTGATGTAGATATATCAAGTGATGATCTATCTTCCATAATGGTCCAAAATTATTCCGGACAGTTCACAAGTGCGAAATTCCAATTCTGCTGACCGCATATTGCTCATCCCTACTACCCTCCTATAACTTGATCGTTTCCAACTTGCGGAAATCTCTGATTCCATGTCGTTGAATACATGAGTTACCGTCAAATACGCCGGTCATTTCTCACATTTAAAAATACTTAATCAATTTAAATTGATGACAATTGAAGAAAAATGTCTTTATATTCTTCCATTCTCTGTTTTCGTCCTCTACATTTTTACTTTGCAGTTCGACAAATAAATTGGCCTCGGTAAAATTTTTATTTTTATCTAAAAATCTTCTCATGGGTTTGCTATCGTGGCATTTGTCTTCAAGTTCTTCTTTTCCTCAACTCTCTGGAGGAACAGATAGAGAGGAAGAGGAAAAAGAAAGAGTAAAACTTTTCAAGGACAGTCGGCAAGCTTCTTATTGATCCCGTTCAAATGGTTTCCGAGCCTGGTAGCAAATACAAAGATAAAGCTTGCACCACCGTAGAACCAAGAATAGAGGTGATATATCTACATATGTAAATATACTATGACTTAAATACATAGGCATACATTTATATATTTAGAGCAACACTAATCTACGTGATAAGCTTCTTAAATCGAAAATTTACCGACTGCTTAAACTAAGAGTAGTCATGAAAGACAATTAATATAGTTAGCAATATCACACATTTGCCAGCTTTAAATGCAAATCTATTGTAAGATTATGATAAAGGTCTAAGAAATATGTGCTTGTTTCTAAATAAAATAAAAATCAGTTGAGAGAAATAAAATAAATTCATAATATGAAAAAATATTTTTCATTATCTATGAAAACATGGAACATATTCTAAATATTGTACAATACAATTTCAACTTATGTATTCAAGATATTGCTTCATGACATGTGAAATGCATAATTTGATATTCAAAATATCTTTATCAAATATTCAGAATATATTCTACATAGATAAAATAAATATTTTTTGAACATGTAAAAATATATTCATTGTTATACATAAATATTTGTTGAAATGACTCTTATAGTTTTTATTATAAATTACCTTTTATTTTATTTTATATTAAAATTATCAATTTTAGTAATGAAATAAAAAATTCATGTATCTGAATAATTAAATAAAATTGTTCATTACAATTTAAGAAAAATAACTCAATTGAATAGAATTGAATTTTACAAGACTTCATGAATTATATATTTATAGATATTAGTCTCATCAGTGTTTTTCTCGTATTGTTACAGTTTTGATTTTTTTTTATAAAATTATTAAAGTGCACTGAATACTCGATATTCTTGATCCAAGAATATAATTTTATTAATGTACCATAAAAAATTTATGTAACAGTAATCAACGGAAATAAAAATTGACAATCTTTAAAGTCGAGAGTAATGATGAAAAAAAATCTGTGAAAAATAATTTATTAAGTTTATACATTTACTGTGATGGAATCCTTTTTAATTACATTTGTAATTAGAAAGTAGTAGAAGAGTAAAATAAGCTTAAACTCATTCAGAAAAAAAATATTTGGAAAACTTCTCTAATTATTTGAATCAAAAAGAAACTTTCAATGTTTCTACCATTAATTCTTAATTCTATTAATTTTTTTTTCATCTCAACTGAAAAAAAAAATAACACACAATAGAATAAAAATAAATAAATTATCGTAAATAAAATTAAGAAATGAATTTACACCCTACTTGGTATATTAAATCATCTATCTGTCATTTTATTCCAATACTTACAAAACTACAACTAGTATATTTTGAATTCATTATCAGTTGGCTATCTCCCAAAGAAACAAGAGGTGTTGATTAGGTACAGATAAAGTACCAATCAATCTTGTCTTTTGATGTAATCATATCATCATGTCATGGTAAAAGATTAATTAACATGAAATTCATTTAATTAACTGACCCTTTTCAATAAATATTTTAAATAGAGATGTCAATGAATATTATTCTCAACCAACACAGAATATTTTTCGATTAATAGAACTGTTTTTCAGGATATAATTACCGTGACATATCCTGAGATATTTAATTTACAGAGCTAATGGGTAATTACCGGACTCTCTTAATGAGATCGAGAACTGTAAAGACCACTCTGGATTGATTTACTTATCTTGCCATGGCTGTTGTACACGAGAGAATACTCTTCTCAAGCACTACCAATTACTTGTCTAGATAGAAGCCAGTCTCGTTTGTCGCTGTGCAAAGGTGTCATGGCGAGCTTGAGGTTTAGATACATTACCTCAATGGTCTACTGATATCAGTCTGACGCAAACTAAATTTCATCCTCCAATGTTATGAGAAACATGTTGTATCACAACACCATTACCTCGTATCTCTCTTTACCCTCGATAAAGTTCCACCAAATGATCAGACAGAAAAAATGTTGATGGACATGCGACACAAGTAGCAAAAAGTACACTTCAACACCACTCGGAATTCGATACAGTCATGATTGATTTCACCCTGATAAATTCTTCTCTATTATGAATCGTGATAC